AGCGAAAGGGGAGTGGAGTTTGCAGGAGACAACTAGTTCGCTTAATTGGTTCGTGGCTCTCTGAGACTCCTTGCCAAGTTTTGCAGGTATCAGTCAGTTCTCCAAGCCAGAGAAGGTCTGTGACTGTAAATCCTCCCTCGAAAGACTTTGGTGGGAAGGTTAATTAATAAAAGTGGTGGGTTTTTTTGTTGGGATGAGGAGTTTGCTTCATGCTCTGGTGAAGCCTAGGTTGGAACAAATCTGGTCGTGAGCACTAAGTCATGTTTGCTATTTGTCTCTGTTGTGGAGGACAGAACCCTTCAGTGGAATCTCCTTGAAGTCACCTCAATTCATTAGTGACTTCAAGGCTGAACCAACGTCATTTCCTTGATAAAGCAACTTTTCCAACACCCCAATCAAATTTACAGACCTCGGGTTTCCAAAAAGTATCCAAGTTTTTTCCAATTTTAGATTCAGATGACCAGAGTTAGCTAGGCGACAGAAGTTAGGAAACAAAACCACCATTCAAGGCTTTGGGGAAAGTGCCGCTCGTCAGACTGAATGAAATAACACTGACCCGCATTTAGAGAGGACTACATTGCTCCAGGTGGCCTGGAGACTTTTGTTTCCCAAATGGCAAACAAGAGAAGACCATGATAAGCTGCTTTATAGGCATTGAGCCTGGATCGAGGATCAGAGCTGGCCTCACCTTTGCCCTGCGAAGATTATCTTGGCTTCCTTGCAGCTGCAACCAGATCTTCCTTGCTCCTTTGGGGTCCAATCCCAGCACCCCCATGACATTCAGCTCCACCTGAAAGAGGCGCTCAATCTGGGGACGGTGTTGCATCAACATCTCCTGGGCCTCCTCGGCCACCGCAAATTCGTCCAGGATCCTGCTGTTCGGCATGACGGAAGCCTGTGTCTGGCAGCTCTTCAAGACACAAGTTGCTGCGTGGCTAATAAGCTGCAGGGAAGAGAAACCAGGCTGATTAAAAGGGTTGTGGGTGAGAGATGAATAGAATTGAGTTGAGTTGAGCTGAGCTGAGCTGAGCAGAGTAGAGCAGAGCAGAGCACAGCAGAGCAGAATATTGAGTAGAGTATTGTGGAGTGGAGTGGAGTGGAGTGGAGTGGAAGAGAAGAGAAGAGAAGAGAAGAGAAGAGAAGAGAAGAGAAGAGAAGAGAAGAGAAGAGAAGAGAAGAGAAG